TAATAATAATAATAATAATAATAATAATAATCAATTTTAGAATAATAATGTGTGAAGGGGTATTATAAAAATGTCTTCAAGCATTTAGGGAAAGGGGAAAAAACAGAAAGTAAAAAAATATACCAATGACAGGCATTAGGATGTGCCTGCATATTGAAGGATTGGGGGTTAATTTGTTTTTTTATAAGAATTGAATGGTGGTTAATTTTGGCCATACTGACTAAATTATAGCTCCATACCATTCACTTCCTCAGGCATTCATGGGGCCTGAAGGAGGGAGACACAGGATGTGACAGTCTGCAGCCACCCTTGAATTGTTAAGGGTCCTACTTACAAACAGCATTTACATAAAGCACCCCTGAGCTCAGAGTGTCCCAGCTGTTTGGGAAAACACGTGGGTGGGACAGGCTCTTAGATGTTCCTGGGTTCGGAAGCCGAGTACACTGAGAAGCTATGAGACGAGGAAGTTACTCTGACAGGTGACCCAGGAGACAGACCCAGGTGGCTTTCTCCAGCAGGCACACTCGGCTCTGCAGTTCTGAAATCTCGCCCTATGTATGTCCCTCATCGTCCCAAGTTTCACCCATTAGTTATTCATGTGAGTTCATGTAGTTTGTCACCCTCCATGCCACTGCTGCTGCTCTGGAGGGTGACACTGGAGCCTGTGCCACCTAATGCCCCTCGTAAGCCCCTGCTGAGATCACAGGGGGCTGAGAGGGTGGCACAGGCTCCTTGCTGATTTCAGGGCAGTGCACAGCCGAGCTGCACCCGACAGGACAGGGGATAGGAACTCTGGGTCTGGGAGACCAGAGGACGCACCTGGGAGTGCGGCCAACCTTAGGAGAACATGAGGCCGTGTGGTTCTGGGGGCCGTGGCGGAGAGAGCAAGGTGAGCCCATGTTTATCACCAAACCCTGGAGCACAGCACAATCACCACAGAAGCTGGAAACCGATGGCTGGGCCTTGAGGGGTCCCTAACAAACACTTCCACGAGCTCCCCTTACACGGGGTGAGAGCGCCCCATTTTGAAAAATCGTTTTTAATTTTCATGTTTGCTTTGCCTCCTTCCAAGAAGGATTTGAGGCAGCTCACACATACTTGGCACAAAAGGTCAAAGTGAGAACACAGTGGTGGGAGTGAGTGAGGGCTGCTGCTGAGCCCAGCACACAGGAGGTAATGAGTGTCAGCTCACAAGTCCCACCAGCGAAGGCAACGGGGAGACCTGTGTGAGTCACTCTCTGGCCTCCTTGTGTAGAGGTGCCTGTGGCTGCATGGACACTCATGAGCAGAAAGAAGGCTGAGATGCTAGCCCCCAAACCATCTTGCTCCAGGAACACCCTCAGAAATGCAGCAGTGCCTTGGTGACATCCACCAACTGCAAACCAGCCACTGCCCCAGACACCGCCTGGTCCTCATCCCAAGGCCAGGCTCTCCTGCAGGAAGCCATGGAGAAGTGCAATGGCAGAGGGAGAAATCCCGCAATGGGTGACACTGACAGACACACAGTAAGTGACACTTCCCAGGGGCATCCTTCCCAGACCATAGGAGCTCACTGCCTCGGGCAATTCTTAAAGCTTCCGTCAGTCCAGGCTGAGGGCGAGACTCCCAGGCCTGAGGGAGGCTCCACAGAGCCGGTACTGGGAGGACGAGTGAGGACCAGCCCACCCNCACCTAGTGAAAATTTATTTTGAAAACCAAGGAGATTTACAGCCTTTTTTGGACTTAGGAAAATGAGGATTCCTCACAGGCAGATGAGCACTCTGGGAAAGCAGGAGGAAGATGACATCACGTGGAGTCTGCATGTGAGAAGGTGACGACAGGCACCGGGGATGGCTGGTGGCCCCCTGCCGGGTGTCACCAATGACACTGCAGATAAATGCTTCGGTTTGGGGTCCAACCCTCATGCCGACTGAGGCCTCGTTTTCCTGTATTTCTTTCAAGTTGCTCTGGAAAATACATGTTTCCTTGTGAGCCCAGGTGGCAGCTGTGAGTCAGTTGCTTCTAAAGAGACATGAAAAAGCCTTCTTAAATTTAAATGAGGCTACTTTGGAGTTCCTTTTGGAATTATTTCTGGTTTGGGAACTCATTTGGTGCATAAAAAGAGGAAGGTCTTTAATCTCTAAATTTGAGAACAGACAGAAGAAGATAAAGGCTTATCTGGGGTTGTGAAGTTTGTCAGAGCCTGGGACCGATGTTTATAAATTAATGGGAAAAAGCACAAATATTTGGCCTTTCTGCGTATGGTGCATACTTTCTAAACACGAGATGTCCATCTGGCTTGGGAAGAATGTGTATGTAAGAAGGTTCTCTCAAGACACCAGACTGTCCTTTTAAGAAGATATGAAGTCAACTGTAATTGAAAAATAAAATTGAAAAATTATAAAGAAAAAAAGAAAAAAGATAGTAAAATTGAATTTCCCGCTGGTTGTAAAAATCCACTTGATTGAACTCCCTCCACCAGGTTCACACCAAACCCCGGATCTCGGAAGTTAAACCCCATCAAACCTACAAGGCTACATACATTCTGTCAGAAGGAGAAGAAAAACCGAACCAGCATGACTCACGCAAACACTCCCATCAGGTGGGGCTATTATTGCTCAGCCAAGATTCTCAGTGCTCAAAACAATTAACAGAACCTCAAGTTCTCAAACAGGAGGCATCCGTGTGGGGTTCTCAGGAGGGGTCGCAGGGAGGTGACAGGGGAGCCTGAGGGCTGTGACCACACACAGGCCCATCTCATCGCTCCACGGGCACACCCCTTGCTCCCTGCACCAAGGGGAGACTAGCTGTCCAAGGCCTCCAGGTTCTGCTTGGGACGCTTCTAAAACAGTAGTGACTGAATGAACAGACGACCTGCTCCGTGGGGGCGCCGAGGTCCCAAGCCAGTGGTCGTCAGGAACCTCTGCCCTCAGCTTCAGGAAAAGAGAATTATAAAGAGACGTTTACAAAAATCCTGATGTCTAGCTGGTGAAATCAGCCAGTACTGCATCTCCATGGGAACAAGGGGCATCCCTGGGGGCCAACTGTCCATCACGGGGTGCCTGGATACCCCACGACCTGGCTGGCACCTCTGTGTGGACACACCCTTCTCCCGGCCTCCCGCTTCCCTCGCCCGCCCCCCCACTACCACCTAATCCCCCCCACTATGCCAGGAGTGGCCACATGTCAAGAAGATGCAAAATTTAAACGCATCCCCTCTTTGTATTTATCAGCAGAACACAGGCCAAAATCAAATTCAGAAATAGATTCCACCAGATTATTCTACTAAGCTATTGTAATGATTAGACTTTCCTCACAAGTGAAAAATTATTTTCCCCAGAAAATGATCTCGTGTGGAAAACGTTAGACCAAAAGACTGGCTTTATTGGTGAGCCATTTTAAAGGACATGTGAGCATGACTGACCACGAGCTTCCCTGCTGAGGTCAGTGGGTTTTTTGCTTCAAATAAGCTAATGCTTTCGTGCTTTAAATTGACTTTTTTTTACTTCCACTTCTTGCATACAGAAGGGAAGTTTACCTTTCTGGTTATAGGCTGATAATCTGAGGGTTAATTTGATAATTGTGTCTTATAAAGAAAGGAGAAAAATTACTTAAATATTTTTTAACCAGAAATTTCCATGGCAGGGGATCTAAATGCCTGTAACAATGACCTACAGGAAAACTAAAAATATTTCTAAAAGGAGCTATACCTGTTCCTTTACTATCAATAATATTTAAATTTAGAATTTAAAATGCTTAAAGTTGGCGAACAGANGGGAAGAAAGGAGAGGAAGAAGCTAGTAACAGGAGATGATAACCAAGAGGGGAGGCAGACGGGACAGACAAAATGAAAAGGTGGGGCATCCAACGTGCCCCATGTGGAAACTGCACCCCTGAGGGGCTGCTCAGACTTGCCACAGACAGGTCACTCCACACAAGGAGCGGGCACCACACGTGGCCACTGTTTCAAGTGTTTGTGGAAAGACCAACGCACACATGGAAAAGTGATCTGAGCGTGTACAAGAAAGGAAATGAAAGAGCACCTGTGAGACCGAAGGGAGGAGAAGGGACTCACAAGTGTCAGGACAGCGCACACGGGCGGGCTGACACACAAGCGTCAGGACAGCGCACACGGGCGGGCTGACACACAAGTGTCAAGACAGCGCACACGGGCGGGCTGACACACAAGCGTCAGGACAGCGCACAGGAGCTCAGAGCCAGCCTAGCTCCGCGGCGCGGGCCCCGCCAGCCTCGGTGCGTCTGCCCAGGCCTGGCTGCACTGTGGCTCTCCCCATCACAGGGCTGGCCCCGGAGGCTGAGGAAACAAGCTGCCAGCAAACTCCGACTAAGTGCACATCCCGTGCTTCTTGAAATGGAGACAGACTAAGGTGGCAGCTATGGTCCCCACCTGGCACGCTAAGACGCTCAAGCCTAGGAGTTCAAACCAAAATGACTTTGCATTTCAGCTTTTTTTCAGATGGTTTCCTTCGAGTCCGAGTGTTCTCTGGTGAAGAGCGTGGTATCAATCACACTTAAAAATAACAAGTCAGGAAATAGAAACCTCGCTTAGACTCCTACCGGCTAAAAACACTTTTGTAGTGCAGACCGGGCCGTGGGCCGAGTACAAAGCCCCGTTTCTTTCTGCTTTGTAACCCAGGCTGTTATGTTCTGCGGCTGCGACACAATCACTTTGAGGAAGCATTACTACTCAAATAAATAAGTTTCTTTTTTCATTCAAAGCCAGGGAAAATAACACGGCCAGCCTCAGCACACCCACAAACCTCTTCCAAGAACAGTGCTATTTGTTCCTGGGCTGGTAACAATGCTTTGCTCGTGGTATCAAAGCCTTTTAATTTATCTATGATCAACCTAACTTAAACACAGAGGAAAAAATATTCATTTTGTTCCACTGTAAAGCCAAACAAGCTAGTTCTTAGTTCCTGGGCTGTCCTTATTTTTCTTGGTCCACAGGGGGATCCATTATTCTCAAACCTTGGCCTAGTATCCTCTCTGGGCCGTGGAAGGGCCGCACGACGCATTAGTAATCTTGCGGTTGCAGCTTTAGGAACTAGAAGTATAGATCCATTTTCAAAAAGGATTGCAAATGTCTACTTGGCACTGAGATGGAATAAAAAGGTACGGATGTACCCTCCTCTATGAGATAAGTTGGAAACTGGGACAAAAGGCCTTCTTAAAAAATGGTTTTCAGATATTAGACAGCAGGAAGCAAAGGGTGATGGCCCCAGTGAGAGGTGAGTAAACAAGGGGGGCCCTATACATGTTTGAAGAAAGTCACAGAGCTGCAGACAAAACTGGGAGCCAGGCAGAGCCCCAGGTCTCCCTGGAGCAGGTGACAGAGCCCAGGGTCCAGGGAGACCAAGGCAGATGCCCAGTGCAGGGCTGGCCGCCCAGGGAGACAGCGCTGGAGGTTGGCGGAGGGTCCCCATGAGTTTTCACTGAGTCTCGATCAGTGCATGCATCAGAGGAAAGTAGCCAACGTCAGGTAAAGGGCCACCTGAGAAAAAAGCAAAGGAAAGGTCTCTGGATCTCACAGTGGGCCCCGAATAGTCTTACTGGCACCAACCAGGGCAGAAAAGTCCTGACTCCAAAGGGCGCCAGGAACTCCGATGGGTAAACTTCCTACACAAAAGCTGCTGTCACCCTGCCTCTCAGATGTCACGCATAAGGCTCTGCGGGACGTGGCTTCTTCTGAGAATGTCACTGCCTTGAGAACAAAACTCAAGACTATCCTTAGGAACACAAAAATGTCCAACACCTTTAAGGCAAAAAATTATCAGGCATGCAGAGAGGCAGGAGAAAACCACCCCTGAATGAAGATGAAAACCAACCAATACAAGCAGACCCTGAGCTGATGCGGAGGATAGAATGAGAGGGGCGTTAACACACTGAGATGACCTTGACCTCTGCGTGGAAGGAGCTGCAGGAAGGATTCAGTTAAGGGCATGGAATGCATTTAAAAAACCAAGACCAAACTGCGAGAGTTGAAAACTACCAAGTCTAGGGCCGGCCGAGTGGCTCAGTTGGTTAAGAGCTCGCTCAAGAGTGTGAGCTCTGAGCAACAGTGGTTCAATTCCCAGCCCGAGCTGAGCAGCCGCTGAGCTGCCAACAGGCAGCAGGCTGGCTCAGATTAAAAAAAGAAAACTACCAAGTCTGAGATGAAAACCCACTAAATTAAGGGCAGACTAGACACTGTAAAAAAGAAGAGTGGATTTAGAGACACAGCAATAGAAACTATACAACATGAAACAACAACGACTTTAAAAAATGGGAAGTGAGAAGCGGGTCAGTCAGCCATGGGACGACGTCCAGGAGCCAAAAGTGTCTGTCATAGTGCCTGACGGGCGGGGCTGAGAAAAACGCTTGAAGAAATAATGACCCAAATTTTTCCAAATCTGATTCAAAACACCCCATAAAACCTAAGCACAGGAAACAAGAAGAAAACAATACCTGGGTTCATCATATTCAAACTGCTTAAAATCAACAACAGAGAGAAT